ATTATTATTATTATTATTATTATTATTATTATTATTATTACTGTGGCACAGAACATACGTCCTGTCATCTGTCTCTTTGTTGCATCAACAGAGCAAGGCAGCAACAAGAGACACAATATCAGCCGGCACTTGAATCCTGTAATTTTCCTCTTCCACCATCTAGTGAGACCACATCTCTGTAACTATACAAGTAATGTTATATGTTATTGTTACTTCTGAAATGGAATGGTATTTCTTTTCCTTTACAACCATGATGTAATTTAGTTGTTAATTGTGTGTTAGGGAAGGAATTACTTAGAAGTTGCTACTGTGTGCCTTCAAGTTGTTTTTGACTTATGGCAACTGTAAAGTGAACCTATCACAGCAAAATTTGTTAAGAGGATGCTTGCTTTTGCCTTCCTCTGAGGATGTGAGAATGTGACTTGCCTGGGATCACCCAGTTAGTTTCCATGGCCAAGCTGGGATTCGAACTCTGGCCTCCAAAGTAATAATCTAACGTAATAGCCCAACGCTCAAACCACTATACCATTCTGGCTCTCTAGTTAGGAGTTGCTTGGTATTTGAAAGGAGTGACTTCCAAACCCTGAGGCAGACAGTAGGCTTAAGAAGTGGCTGAATGTTGAATGGATTCACTTCTGTTTTTGAAATATAGCGTAGCTAAACAGTTTATGGGGACTCAGAAGCAAACCTTTAAATCTGGATGTTTGCAACATAAATAACAGCATATGGGAATATCTGTGGTCACAAGTATGATAGAATTATGGTTGCAACAGCCATATATCTCAACACAGACATTAAAATTTAGGATCTTTGTGGAAGATTAAAACTACTCCAAGGGCAGCCACATTTTATTGCTAACATAGAGTTTACATGGATACAGTGACAGCAAGAGATTCCTTTGAACTAGTTTTTCATTACTTTAGCTTTCTTCTTTCTTTCTTTCTTTCTTTCTTTCTTTCTTTCTTTCTTTCTTTCTTTCTTTCTTTCTTTCTTTCTTTCATTTTCAAATATACAGCCAATTTCTCTGTGGTTCTTTGGTCACAGAAGTGGGAAAGATGTGGCCTACAGGTCACGGGGGTGAGGAGAGTTAGCCCCAGAGCTTCTCTAGCCTTGTTTTGTAAGAATCGTGGGGAACGAGTAAAAACCAATCCTCGTATTTGCGCAATCGGTAACTTCAATTCAACTTTTCTGCATCTGAAAAAAAGGTCTCTCTGCGGATCTGGAGGTCCTCCAATGCAACTGTATGAAATATAGCATTTGGCATTATCCACTGTTTTTGCTATCCATGATAAATTTGAGAATGTGTCCCTGTGGATACAGTGTTTGTATTATATTCTCAGGGCTGGGTGGTTGTTGTTATTCATAGACACTGACTGGCACAAGATTTGATACAGCTGTTGGTTAATAAAATTAGGCTGTGTAGTAAGTAGGCTCAGTGAACATCAAGAGATTAAAATCTGGATTAAAAATCTGGAACAGATAGAAAGTCAGCCTTTTTTGCCCATGGTTCTTCATGATTCAGGGTAGTGTCTTCTGGATACTGACAAGCATTCACAAGACATACTCAGTGTGGTAATGTCAACAGGCACCATCTCCAACCTGGAAGACATGGACATTTGAACTGACCCTTTGAAGAAATCACAATGTGGATCAAAAATGGCCTTGAAGGCTGCTTAGTGTCCAGTGTCCACATTTTGCTCACTACCGATACAGGATTGATGAAGCTTCAAAGTGAATTTAAAATGGTGGTTCTTAACTTTGTGGGACAAATCACTAACCACTGATGAAAGCTATAAATATACATACTCTAAATTTTTGATACAATTAAGTAATTATGCAATTATTGTATTGGAAAATTATTTCCTTTTCACAGACTAGTCTGGAATAAGAAAAAAAAATTACAGAATGGTTTACTTTAAATGTTTATGTCAAAATTCACAGTGACTGGAAAAAATCAAAAAAAATTTTAAAAAAACAACAACACCCCACCCAGTTTGTCGATTCCCAGGTACCTAAAGACCAGAAACAGAAATTAAGAGTCCCTGATTTAAAAGGAAATCAGATTATTAAGGGATGTAATTGAGGATGGAGAAAGCTTGGTTTCTGCTGCTCCATGGAGCAATGGATGCAAACTACAGAAAAAGAGATTTCACCTCAATATTAGGAAGAACCTCCTAACAATAAGAACTGTTCGACAGTGGAACACACTTCCTTGGAGAGTCTCCTTCTTTGTAGGTCTTTAAAAAGAGACTGGATGGCCATCTCTCAGGGGTGCTTTTTAAAAAGTTTTTAAACTGATTTTATTAATAGCTTTACATAGTTCTGATGAGGAATGTGTACTCAGGACAAGAGGCTATTGCCAGAACAGAACACAGAGAAACAGAATGGTTCCCAATTAGCAAAGGAGTCAGACAAGGTTGCATCCTTTCACCCTATCTGTTCAACTTGTTTGCAGAACATATTATAAGAAAAGCAGGCTTGGATACAGAAGAAGGTGGAGTGAAATTAGGAGGAAGGAATATCGACAATCTGTTATGCAGCTGACACCATAATACTAATAGAAAACCTCACAGACCTAGAACACTTACTAAGGAAGATCAAAGAAGAAAGTGCAAAGGCAGGCTTAATGTTGAACATAAAGAAAACAAAAATAATGACCACTGAGGACCTTCACAAGTTCAACGTAGACAATGAAGAAATAGAAATAGTAAAATAATTCCCATACCTGGGATCAAACATTGATAGAAATAGGGACTACAGTTAGGAAATCAGAAGATTAAAAATGGGGAGGGTGATGATGAAAGAACTAGAAAAGATTCTAAAATGCAAAGATATGCACAAAAGTTAGAATCACACAAGCCATTGTATTCCCTATTACCATGTATGGATGTGAGAGCTAGACAGTTAAGAAAGATGATAGGGAAAAAAATCAACTCCTCTGAGATGTGGTGCTGGAGAAGAATGCTGAGGATCTCATGGACAGCCAAAAAGACAAACAAATGGGTCCTAGAGCAGATCAAGCCAGAAACCTCCCTAGAAGCCAAGATGACCAAACTGAGGCTGTTGTACTTTAGACACATCATGAGAAGAGAAGACTCATTAGAAAAGATAATAATGCTGGGAAAGGTGGAGGAAAGTAGGACGAGAGAACGGCCACATGTCAGATGGATTGACTCCATTAACGAGGTCATGGGTATGGGTTTGTAGGATTTAAGCAGAGCAATAGAGGATAGGGGGTCTTGGAGATGTCTCATCCATAGGATCGCTGTCAGTCAAGATCGAGGGCAATTCACAACAAAAAACAATCAATATAATAACACAAAATATATGTGTTCTTGCGTGGCAGGTGATTGGACTTGACGGCCCTTGTGGTCTCTTCCAACTCTAGGGTTCTATGAACAATATTTTTAAATAAGGTTCTATTCTAAGATTATTTCATCCTGAGAATTTGATTAAATGAACAACCTCATACGTGAGTGCACAGTCTTTTCAGCCCCACAGGTATAGATTCTTTTCCCCTTTTCACTCCATACTCAAAGTCGTCACATGTGAATATGGGCTTCACTATTAATAACAGGGCTTTACCTGAAATCTTGTATCTGTCTTAAACGTTTTCCCAAACACATATTTCCTGTTTTCCAGGCAGATTTTACACATGGGAATTTTATTTTATTTTTTGTTCCTAATATCATGCAATCATTTTGCAGGATTGTTTTGCCTACTGTGTTACAAAGCTTGGTTATACTGTCTTCAGCATTCCCTTTGTTTGGGACATATAGAAGAGCTTTTGGGAGATGTGAGAATGATAACAGAAAGAGTTTGAAGTTTTAATTCTCTATCTTGGCTACCCATTAGTATACAGAAATTTATGAATGTAATAAAATGTAATATCATTTCTCTTATTTATGGTAATTGGATTGCTACTGGGCTCTAGAATCTACCTTATTGAGTTGATAAGCTTATGTACCTCTTATAGCAGTTGTTACACGATGCCTGTCTTAAGATTTAGAAATGATAACACCAGTCTGGTTTACATTCTGCACAAGTGCCGAGAGACATTTTTGCAACCATAAAGATTAAAAGTTAATTAAGGGGGGGGGGGG